CGGGCGGCGGGGGCGGCGGCAGCTCTGGCGGGGGCAGCGGGACAGCCGGGGGCCACAGCGGCCTCTCCTCCAACTTCAATGAATGGTACGTGTGAGAGGCCGGGGCCTCTCTCCCTCTCTCAGTCCCCATCCTGGCACAGCCCTCCGGGTGGCCAGCGCCGAGGGCACCCTGTGATGTGTTGTTAAAATTATGAATCTGATTTTTATGATGATGAAAATGATTTTACCAGAAGGATTTTTAAAAGTTTTTTTTTTAAAAAAATAATCTAGGCATGAAAAGCAAAAACATCCCTCCCGGAGTCTCAGACGCTGAAAACATAAAATAAGAAATAAAAAATTAAAAAAATAAAAAACCCGTAAAAATATTGAACCAAACCCCCATCCTTAATCACCCCCCCATGCCCTCTTTCCTTCTCTCCCAGTTCCCAGTCTTCTGACAAACTGTACATAGCGAACTCCTTCCTTCTCCAAGGTGGTTTTAATGGCTTCTTGGTGTATAGAAGTTTGTCCATTTGTAACTCTCCGGATTGCGTTCCTTCCTGCCTTTCTTCCCTTCCCTTTCCCAAGTGATGGGCTTTTTCTTTTTCTCTTTTTAGTTTACCCGGTTTCTTTTTAAGTAATGTGGAAGAAAATGGTTTATTTTGTATTGTGGTATTGAATATTGTGTTCCTTTTTATGAGGCAACTTGATTGTAAACTTCATGCAACTATAGACTGGAAAAAAACCGAGCCGTGCCAAAGTCTCCCTTCTGTTTCTTCAACACATTGATCCACAGCGCACACACACACACCACCACCACCAACGCTTGTGAATGTATTTTTCTGTTAGCTGGGTTTACATGTGATGTTTTAGTGCTTTTGCAAGTTCAATTTGTTAGTTCCTGTATGAGAGATTGTGGGGGAAAATAAACGTCGTGCCGTTAGCTTTTCCGTAATAACACCCTTCCTTCTGTAAATACCCGTTACCATATTTATCCATTTGTAATTAAATTATGGTATTAACTTGCTACAGAGGAAACAATATTTATAAAGAATGTTTCTTAACTATAAATATGTACAATTGTGGGCATAAACTGTTTCAGATTTTTTATTTGAAGGTTTTAAGTGGTTTGATCATTTCTTGTGATATGTTTTGAGAGTAATGCATACAGAAATATAATAAAATGTGTTGAAACTGCATGAACATACTATTTTTTTTCTAGCAAAGTTATTAAAGAAAATGGGAAGGGGGCAGCTGAGGGTTGATGTGGGTATGCCTCAGCTGCCTAAATGAATGGGAGGTACCACCTTGCATTCTGGGGAGGAAGGTGTATGTATGCATAGAAACCAGGCCAAACTGCCCCTTTGGCAGAAAGTCTCAAAATTATTTTCTCTGTCCTTTGTTTGTAGCTGGGAGTGAATTAAATTTTTGGAAAGGCCCTGTGAGGAATGGCGGCAGGAACCTTCAGAGTTTCTAATGGCTCCATTATCTGAGGGAATGCCTTTCTTTAAGCTATTTGGACTGGATTTAAGAGCACTAAACATTTCCTTATTCTTTGTTTTCCCTCTTCCCTGCCCCCTTTCCTTTCCCTCCCTCTGAAAAGCTGAGGTATAGTTATTTTTAATTGCACATTTAAAACTGAGCTGAGTACTTTGTTTTTGAACTTGGCCCAGTGATTATAGTTTAAGGACCCTTTTCTACCAAAACTTTTTTCTTGAAATTTTAGAGAGCTTGCTCAAGAAATTTTGCTTATCTGCACAACTGCTGTGCACCAATAACTAGGATGTTCAAGAGAAGAAGGTGATAGAGAGTACCTTTGAATTTAAGAAAGCAACAAACCGTTGGCCCAAGACAAAAGAGAATCCGTTCAAGAATTCAGTAAAATAGAATAAGAAAAAGATTAAAATGGTCAGGTGGAAGTGAGGCAGAGTACCAACCACCAGTTCGTCTAGAAGTTTTGCAGCTTTACTCCCTTCCCCTGCAAGAATTTATCGGATTTCAAACAAGATGCTCTAGAGAAGAAGGTAAAAATAGTTTTAATAATCAAAGGGTAGGAATGGGGGAAATTATTTTTAAATCCCTGAGACATCAAAACATCTCCATCTCTTCCTGAGTATCCTCGGAGAGTCCCTGACAGTCCCTGAGTCACACCCCCGCCCCCAGTACTGAGTAGATTCGGCGGGCGTTGGTGGCGACACCTCCCTAGGGTCGCCCAGCGGGCTCTCGGGACTTTGCGGGGGGAGACCCAGGGCACGGTGGCTGCAGCGGAGACCACTGCTTCTCTCTCTTTCCCCTGCGGTAGTTGACTAAGCTGCAGGGCCCGGCAGGCTAGGCCAGAGGGCTGTTTGGAGAGAAGGGTAACCCTGACCTCCTGGAGGCCACCTATTCAATGGGGAGGGAAAGACTCCAGCCTGGGGTGTGTGTGTGTGTGTGTGTGTGTGTGTGTGTGTGTGTGTCCCCCAGAGGGTGACAGAGGCCCAGCTAGCCCTCTCCCGCGGCCCAACTTACTGCCCAAGCACCAGCTCCTGAAGCAATCAACCCCCTATTAAAGTCAAATTTATAACCCCTAATAATATTAAGGAAAATTATTAAAATAATTGGCATATGTTACTGATCCTTGGGAGATTTCATTGAATACATTATAAGCTGTGGGGAAAAGCATTTAGTTTTTCAACCCCATCCCCACCCCCCACCTTGGGCCACCTCCGGAGGAGGGGGTGAAGAAATCAGATTAAATATTTACCATAACTTGGGCAAGAATGAGATTGTCTACCCTAGACGTTTTAAACTTTTCATTTTTGTGTGAAAATTACTGGTTTTGAGGCACCTCCCTAGTCTAAAGAGAAGAGTGGAACAGAAGTAGATAGGCAACTTTAGTATCAACTCAAGGCTTGGGGCTTTTCTTCTCATTTGGCAGAAGAAGAAGGAAAACAGCAAGAAGAGGCAGACGCCCTCAGTCTTGAGTTGGCTGGCCGGCTTTCTAGCGCTGAATGTCGGGGAGCTACAGGAGGGCCCTTTCGGTCCGGGGGCGCCGATCCTAGCTTTCAGCAGGAAATAAAAATGGGAAGGCGTCTGGCGTGCGGAGGAAGATCGCCGCCTGGGAGCGGTTTCCTAGTCCACCCTAGGATGTGAGGAGCGAATGGGAGCAGCTTCCCGCAAAATGGCTCCTTGCGTCCCACCGCTTTGTCCACACTAGTCACCGACCCGATGGTGTGGCTCACTCCAAGCCTTCCTCTCGGGCCCTTCGAATCCCGGAGACGGGATGGGGGGAGGGGGAGATGGCAAAAGTGGTCAAAGGAGTCAGAATTGCTCGACTTGGAAAGCGCGAGGGGCGGGGGCTGGCGGCCCAAGATTCTGCGTGGCAAGGAGGCGCCTGGGCCTGGGTGGGGGGGGATGAGTGCGTCTACCCCCCCCCCCCCCCGCCTAAATGGACTTGAATTCTAACCTGCCCTCTTCTGGACTCCAGAACTAGAAAACTGAATCCCATCTTCGCTTCCTTCAGGGATCCAGAGCTGCGCCTCTGGTTCGCTGCCCGCAGGGAGGCTCGACTGCCTCCGCCTGAGGACGGTTTCTGCCGGTCACAGCCAACAACTTGAACTTCAGAACGCCCAAGCTCGCTCCCTCTGCGCTCCGCTCCATCCACCACCAAATAACTCCCCTCACGCGAGAGCCGCTTTATCCGGAGGCAGCTGGAGGCCCCTCGGGAGGACCATCATTATTATTATTAATTATCGTGATCCTCACTGCATTATTAATGACCACAATGATAACTGGCATCGGTATCAGCTTCTCCCGGTTCAATGCAGTCCCCCAAGTCCCAAGCAGGGAGGAGGTCACACTTGGAGCAGAGGCCGGGGTTGATTCTGATCTGGGCGCGAGCAAGGGGGAGGCTGCTCAGGTCGAGGCCCCGCGGGACGCGAGTAGAGGAAACAGGTCCCAGGCCCCGCACACCCCGTCGCCGCTGTCCCGGCCCCTTTCCTTTCTGCTGGCACCTTCTCTCTTCCTCCTCCTCCCCACCCCCCGCCGCTTTTGTCTTTTTCAGACGGATGTTTTCAGTACCAAACGGTGAATTTTCCGCACAAAACCGTGATATCTAGGGCAGATTACAGGCTGGACCGGAGTTTCGGGTTTCCCTGTACGCCGCGCTGCTCTCCCTCATTCCAGGGGTGGCTAGGAAGGCCTGGGTTTTCCAAGTCATCGGTTGCCCGGCTGAGTAGGCAGGACTGACTGGGGGAGGTGTGCTCTGGTGGGTCCCTGGTGAGCGCACCAGTAGCACACCTGGACACGCGGGAGCCCCCCAAGTATTCACTTGGGACTCTCCTCTCTGTCACGCCACCAAAGTAACCCAAAGGGCGCGCTAGGCCTGTGTGCAAGAGCTAAGCAATAAAGGCCTCAAAATAATACCTCACCAAGACTTGGTTGAACCCTTGGATGCCGTTTTACTTAAATGGACACGTGCCCCGGAAAGCGACCCACGGGATCCAAAATATGCGTTCAGTGAATACTTGAGGATTGATTGATTATATAGTCTGATACTGCTTTGGTTCCACAGAAACTTGGGAGCTCCTCGGCCCACTGCTACCCCCAGCAGACCGCAATGAACGGTTTCTATTTTTAACTGGCAGCTTAGAACAGGGCTGGAGACGTGTGGCCCTCCTCGCTAAACCCCTCCCCATGCCTCCAACAGATTGTGGCAGGGGTTTTATTTTAGGGAAGAATCTAGATCCTTCCAGACTGGATCGAGTGGTCGGTCGTCCCGCTGGGCTCCTGTGAGGGAAAAAGGCAGCCTTGGCAATTTGAACTGGGTGTTACTAATGAGAACTTCTGTAAACCATAACCAGGGCAGCCCGAGGGTTCGAGTTCACGGTCAAGGCTGTGGAGTGACTGCGGCCGCAGGGTCCACGCCCCGCTCCGCCCCTGCTTCTCCGCCAAGCGGACCTCGGGCAGGGCACGCGAAGCCAGGGTCCTCCCACTCCCGCCCCGCCCCTCGGGGCCCAGTCCGTGCACTGTCCCTGCTGGGGCCACCTCGTCGCCCTTGTATGTTTCCCTTTTGTTCCCAGGGCTCGACGAGCTTTTGAAGAGGTGACCCCTCGCTTCATCTCCAGCCCTGCATCCTGCCCTTGTCCCGCATCCCTCAGCCACCAGGCCAGAGCTTGGGGGGGGGGGGATGCGGCATTCACTTGCGTTCACTCACACAGACAGATACCCCGCATACACACACATTCTCACAATCTCTCTCCACGCCTCAGCATACACACACACACATGCACTCACATATGCTCGCCTCCTTTGGCATCCCCCAGGCGCCCATTCGCCGGGGTGGGATGGACCCGAGCTGCAGAGATTGGGGGCGCGTAGAGAGAAGACCCAGCAAGAGATGCCCCCCTCACCCTTCCACTCTTTTCCAGCTCCCCCACCCGCTACGGCCTCTCTCCCAAAGGGCCCTGGCCTGCCCTGGACTCTCCATCCAACTTGGCTTTTGAGAGTCTACTGCCTGGGCCTTATATCCGAAACCCGCACTTTGAGCCACCAGTGTGAGACAAGTTGGGGGGGGGGGATCCCCGCACACAGTCCGGATCCCTCAGGCCCACTTTCCTAGGAATGTGATAGGCCAGACTGTCCGGCCTCCCCCCGCACCCACTTACTCCCGGGTGTGCGTTGGGAGGTCGCTCCTTTACCTCTCCGTTAAGCCAGGAGGAAGGGAAAGTTGTCTAACTTTGCCCCCTTCCTCCAACCCCTGCCCTTAGCCTCTTTTCCTAACCTCTCCACGCCAGTATTTTCCTGTCCCCGAGGCCAAATCTGGTGGCCCAGGGGAGCGGAACAGGGCGCCACGCCGCCAGAGAGGTTGGGGGTAGAAATAATAATAATAATGTTAATAATGTCAAAGATAATCATCCTAGTTAACGCTCCCCGACTGGGTTTCTCCTCAGAGGCTGGTGGAGGCCTGGGGCGGCTACAGACCGCGGGGCTGGGAATGGGCGTGGGGTCCTCTAGAGGGGAGGGTGTGGAGAGGTTCTTATGTTGCCTGCCCTATACTCCCCAGCCCCCTTCAAATCTTGGGTCTGGAACCAGACCGAGCCAGCAACCGCCTGGCCAGGAGCCGCGCTGGGCCTCTTGCTGCAAACGCGCGCGTTTCGTTCTTTTTCTTTTCTTTCTGCTGGCCCACTGGGCCCACAGTGGTTGGTGTGGCGGAGTGTGG